AAAAATCGACCAGAATTTTGAATGAACGGCCGATTTATTTACACTTGGGCTGATCGATTGTTTCCTTCTTTCACTGTCTTGGTCATCTGACCGTCGTTTGTGAAGGTTGGTGGCCACACGGAGCTAAACGATACCGAGCAAACACGGCCCATCGTCTAATTCACCCAGCAGGGGAGGCAAAAATGAAACCGACCCCAATTGAGGTGACGACACACGACACAGGAGGCCACCAGCATTCACAAACGACGATCAGAGTGCTAGGGTAGCGAAAAAAATAAAATCGATCAGCCCAAGGCCAATATATTCTGTCGTTTTTTTCAAAATTCTGGCCGATTTTTGCAGTAAACGCTTTGATAACGGAAAGCTGGCCAAGCCTTCCGAAGCATTAGCAATATAATTCCCCTGATCCGATGACCATTTCGTTTTACCCAGAGGTCGTTACAGCATCAAGCTCGTCCAATGTACCTTAATGTGAAATGCTCTAGTGTGTCCTTAGTAGTTATTCCCCAGTGTTTGCCTTATTTGCTCTGCCCCCCCCCCGGCACCCACCTGCATAGTCCCGTAAAAAACTCATAATCCTTAATCCCATAGGGAACCAAACTTTGTCCTCACCTTGGCATTCACCTTTTATGAATGAGTGTAACATTCTGAGAAATGAATAATGGGTAGGACTGAGTTATAAGACCGCCTAAACAGGACTTGAGAATAGGAAACGCCTGCAATACGGGTGGATTTGGGCCAACTTCCAATGAAATGAAGGTCAGATTCGGAGTTAGGGTTACGGTTGGATTACAGAATTAGATCTAAAGAAAGATTTAATGTTAATGGTAAGGTAAATCCGAATCGAGTCTAGGTGGTGTTAACTGCAGAGTCAGGGTTTACGGCGGGGTTAAGGTCGAAATTAGGGCAACCGTTTAGTTTTGTATCAGAGTTACTACTAAAGTTAGGAAACGGAATATTTTGTCCTCTCCGGAATTATGCGCAGCTCCAACTTTATTACTTGGGCGGGGCGTTCCAATGACAACGATAGGGTATAGGACCCCTAAGCAGATGATAACTCTAAAATATACGCCAAAATTTAGTGTGACTGTAGCCATCACTTATTATTCATCGTCCCCATTGTTTGCGATTTCCTTCCCTTCCTAGGTAAATATAAATTTACCAGCGGCAGATTATTCAGAGTCAGTTATTCTTCGAAAATCGCTTTTTGCATATTTTCTAATTATCGCGCCCACTTTCTTTGTCAAATGACCGAGTATGATAAGACTTTCGGCGAGAATTTATCTATTTTTTACGCCTGCTTACTCTTCGTCCTGCGTGCTGCCTCGTTCCTAGAACTCCCTCTATCATTTTTATGCGTATGACACGGTCCATAGGCTAGCTCAAGTTAGTTGGGTGTCCTACACCCTACCCTTGCCGTTTCTATTCCGAAGTCCTCTTTAGGGAGCCAGATAAGTCAGTTTTGCCGACTTGCATATGTAAGTGTTTTGTCCTTGGAAGGGCTTACGAAAAAAATACCTTTAGAATTTTCTTATATTTAAGGCTTCTAAACACATGTTGAGTCATGCGAACGTCTTGTCTTACCTCTGTTTGTATTATGCAGTCTGCTTTAAGACTGCTATCGTGGCGTAGTTTCAATCGAAAGTCGGAGGGCATGTAAGTACTTTTAAGAGTGTAGACCACCTTACCTTAAGAGCCCCATTCTTGGTTAGTGTTTTCGTTCACGTAAAGCCACTTCTGGAAGCCGCTCTGGTATAATGGCGACTGGCAGTTATGAACGACCGAGATGTAAAAGATGGCGATGTTGTATAACCCTGGGTTCTGAGTCGCGCGTGCCCATGTCTTTGCCGATGGTAGAGTCTTAGAATGCTCTGAGTAGAACACTGAAATTAGAATTCTCCTACACCCTGTAATACAGATGGTCTTCTGTTAAATTCGGGGGTGATTGCGTTTACATTAACGTAAAACTGCGGAGAATTATATGGTCCACTTCATTTGATCGAACGTTGTCCAGCGGATACAAATTCGGCCTTTGAATTTGACGTTGCACATCGCCTTTGGACGACTGGAAACAACTTATCGGTAAGACGTTGTTCGGGAACCCCGTCTAGTGGACACAATACGGTTGGGATTGGAGTTAGGGGTTATTGTTGTAGATTATGGTCAGGATTAGGGTTAGGGGTTGGGGTAAGTGGTTGGGATCATTGGCTAGGACAGCTGTTTTCAACCATTCGAAGTGCAATCACGCATACCCAGTAGCTTTTCTTTTGCATGCAGCGACTTGACCTCGTCGTCTGTGCGTTCCCTGGCCCCACCTGCTAAAAATCCCTATTACTGCCTGTCCCGAATTTCAGGTGGATTAGGTTTTCTTACTTCAGGTGGAGCTACATAACCGCATCTGACCAACTTCTTCAAATGTTGAATACGCTGAGCCCCATTGTACGGAACAGAGCATCATATTAATAAGGGAAAAGCTCGCACTGTGTGCATGAATGAAAAATATAGAGATTCATTGTGCGGCCGGTGTTGGGACGGTGACAGCGAACCATTAGATTGAGAAGCCGACAACTGCCATGGCAAACTGCCACGTGAGTAGTTCAACTTCTTTGCATTCTGCTGTCCTCTTTTCAAAGGAACCTATTAATCAAGTATTTGCATAATGGACAGTAAATTAGACTTACTTTTATGACATGGCCTATTTATTTTCTTTTTAGAACTGGTCCTGCAATTTGTCAGTCTCAGTTATCGCTGAGTAAATGCGCCTCTCCCCCTGAAATAGATCTCCAAATATTTGCCACTTCGTTCGTTTAGACAGGTGAGCAGGCATCCTGCAGTGCCCATGTATGTCACTACTTTTCCATCATTTGAATTTTTGCTAAGCGCATACTGACACGTCTTACTGCACATTTTGGCACTCTAGAAAACGCCAGAGCGATTAAAGTTATGAAACGCCGCATTTCATAGAAGGAACCGCGACCCGTAATGTTGAACTAATAAATCCGAGCCGTAGAAAGCTATTGGTGTAATAAGGACTAGGAAGTAAACACATGCCGATCACACACTTTCGAATTGAATTGTGTCACATGAGACGAAAAGCAGACATTAAATTATGAGCAGAATAATGATGCCAACAAGTACGGGGCGATGGGAATAGCCTTTTTGCTTATTAGTCGTTATCAGCAGACCGCTCACAATCCTATGTCTTTTTAATCTCCGAGACTTGAACCTCTGACCTGTTGGTTTGAAGCCTAACCACTAAGCCATGGGGTCTTTTTTCTGCCGGTTGCCTTCGGGTTTGCTAATAGAGCGACTGTCTCATGTTACCCAATCGCCGAGCGTCCCTCTACCAGAACCCTATTTCCTCAAATTATCCGGCTAACGTAAGCCTGCTTCCAGTAAATTCTCATCAGACCAGTTATGTTATAAAGGAAAGGGGTCAAGTAAAACATGCCAGTGATAAGAGACTCGATTAAAGTTCGTCTTTTTACACACGTCTGGTGTAGGACTATGGGGGGGGGGTGAATCATAATACGCGATTAAGGAGACAGTGAGGGTTCGAAGACCGCTGCCAAGGGAAGTGAATAGAGGGCAGTGAAGCAGTTGAATGCAGTTAACCGACTTTGGCCCCGGTAGACGCGGAACTTGCACATTGCTCTTCTTCGCTCCATAACCTGCTGGCAATCGCTGACCCTGTAGTTTAGGATAGGCCAATGCGACCTCATAAATCACACTCAAGGCTTTATTGGGGTTCACGCGATGCTTGGAATCAACAACAGACGCAAGAATGGCGTTGTTTATGCTCCTAATCTCGCATTTTCTCAGCAACGTCGGAGGTTTCGGAGTTGGATGGTTGCCGAGTCGTGCAAAACTTTAACCTGCTTCCCAGAAGCAAGTGAAGGCCTCAATGCACATCTAGGTGGTCTGAGATATCAGCGCATTCTTACTTTCCCCGAGATCGGAAATTTTACCAGAACGTTTGCTGCTGGTAAGGTTCGTGAAACCGTTTGGTCACGACGTCTTCTTAGGAGTTCACCCGCCAGGTTAGCTTGTGTGGTGGGACTTTCTGGTCTTTCGACAGGATTCGTTGGAAGTAGTCTGCTTGGATGTCCGTTCTCGCGAAGCAGCTCCTGAGCTCTTTCAAGTGTCCTTTCGATGTTGTCTTCTGAATAGAAATGGGAGGAGCTGTCGTAGGCGTGCCGCCACAAACGGTTCAGAGCTGACTAGGTGGAAGTGCTATAAAGGCCACATTAAGAAGGAGCTATTGCAGGCTGACTCTCAGACCACCGGTCGGCCACTCCACGCAAACACACGATGAGCCGATTGTGAGGCCCAAGTTATCTCGCCGGCTGCAAACCTTCCAAGCTACGGTTTTTCGGGCACTGCGATAGTTTCAAGCGCGCCAGATTGGTTGTAGAGACGAGAAACCGCTGAGTCGTCGAACTCACTTTCTATTTCCATTCCTAGGCCGCAGCCACTTTCCGAAAGGGGAATGGACACATTAGATGAGAAAGAGTTAGAGAGCACGTTTGTGTTCACCATATGCACCACCTGGCCTTCAAACAAAAGTACCAGGGGTGGGTGGCATGCATCTCACATGCATGTGATTACCTAAAGCCACGGCGAGAGGGAGCCGCTGCAGTCTGACTCTCAGTCCGCCATTCCACACAAGCATGCACAACTGGGCAGTCTGCGAGGACTGAGTCGAGGTGTCAGTCACGACGCTTGGCGCACCGTGATAGTTTCGGATTTGGATCACAGATGAAGCAGAGCAACTATATGGGGAAGACGCCGAGAAGCGCACTTGCCACTTATGTCAAATTTGTCAATCGATTGCTTGAACTGCGAGATCATTTTTGATGCTGATGTGTGTTGCCGGTGCCGCTGGAGGTCTACCGCAAGTTTTCATGAAAACGCATGTGGTCTAGTAGGCCCATGTGGCGACTGAATGTGATTGGGTAAGGTAAGCAGTTCAAACGTGTGTGTCTGATGTGTGGTGGTGTTCAGGGCACTGGTTTATCGTTCTCCTTACGATAGATTCGCAAGCGTCCGACCAGGCCGATTCGTGAGGAGAATATACGGGAACAGGATGAGCAGGATAGGTTGTGAGCGTCCAATTCGCTGGTGGTGGTGGTGGTGGTGGTGGTGGTGGTGGTGGTGGTGGCAGCGGCGGCGGCGGCGGCGGCGGCGGCGGCGGTGAACCTGCTGATGGCAGGCGCGCTGTACGATGGGGTGTAGGTTGGGCTAGACAAAGTGGGCGTGCAATGTGTGCTAGACGTGTTGCTACTGCGGTGAATTGCGCTGTCGTTGATACGCATGTGACCAAATGGGCCCATGCGGTGAATTAACGTGCAAGGGCAGTGGGGTTATGTGAGGTGGATGCGCCTAGTGTGTTTGGGTGCTACTGACGCTGGTGCGCCAGTGGTAGACCACTGCAGTGGGGACTGTGGTCGCGATGTGTGTCACAGTTTAACTGCTGACAACTCGGCTAAGATCTAAAGTTGGCATGAGCACTTAGAACAGATTCTTAATTACAATAACCAGTCCACCGCCTCACTCTCCAGCCTATGGAATTCAAAGGCTACGCAACAGCAAAACGCCAGGAGAGACCTACAGCTAAATTGAAATTTACAGGTTTTGTTTCGAAACTCTGGCCCATGGGTTTAATAAAAATGTTTAAGCAAGCATGGAGAAATGATTTTGGCCTTGGTAACTGGCCCCAGCCATCTGCGTGTTTGTTCTCGGGAAGTAAAGTGCGGGATCTCCTGCTGCATAAAACGCATCAACGTCGCTGCCAAGATGTTTGTTACTCTCATTCTCAGGCGCATTCTTAGTGCGCGTGACCCTACGACGAGACTCATCTTAGCCGAGTTCCGAGACGGATGGGAATGCAACGACCAAGTATCAACTTCAAAATGCATTCTTAAAGTCGGCTATGGCTACTAGCGACCAACGACCGCTTTGGTTGTGAATTTCATTGCAACATTCGTGAGAGAGGTAATGAGACTAGGCAGTATGCCGGCAATTATCACTGCTATGGCGACGACCTGCGATCGTCCCACTGTTGTATGGGGTCAGGATCACTGTAATCCCTCCGCACTTTTCGATATTCAGTCTGGCTTTCAACGAGGCAGCATTCCGTCATTATCCCTCCTCAATTAAGCCGACGGTGTGAAATTTGGCTTCCAGTTAGCTGAAGATATCGGCCTGCCGGCGTCAAGCTACAATGTACTATCGAATATAGTGTCGCGGTGAGTGAATTCACAAAATCAGTCGGTCTACTTATCAACACCAGCCAGGTTATAGTGGTTTCAAGCTGCATTTCTGACCAAGAGGAGAGACCCACTGGAATAAGGGATTATTTAGCTTGAAGACTTAGGCAGTTTAAACACCTTGCAACGAAGTCTCTGTCAAGTTGACCGCGTAGAGATTGAACTGCCTCCCGAACAGATGTTGCTCGTAAGGTTCTCGTAAACCTTAGAGTGCATAGGAACCTGACGTGGCATGACAATCAAAACAAAGATCTTCTTTTACCGGACACCCGAACGGTCAACGTTTTTGTACAATTATGAATGCTAGCCTGCTTGTGAAGGGGGGGGGATGGGACGAAATCAGAGGTGCCTGGGAACTATTCTTCGGCAAAAGTGCGGAATAATGTGTGGGTTTGGATGTATGAATTTCGTTCCTTTTCCAAACATTTTCCTCACATCATAGAGGAAGATTGCATAGTTAGTTTATTTGCCGGCGCTGAACGCGCTCAACTTATATGCCACGGTTAACTAAAACCTCTTAAAGGAGAATACGATGCAAATTGCTAAGTGGGTAAGATGATAGTTGGTAGCCGTGCGCACGGACTCCCCAGTGGTACCTACTGGCTCGATTTCAGTAGCTGTGATTGCGTTCTCATTATGCTTCTAAATTCACACGCACGCTGTATTACCTGTATCAGATTCATTTTAGAGGTGCTATCCTGGGCAGATTTTCACCGGTAACGATGACAATGAGGCTTACCCTATGTCAACTTTCGTTAGAAGAGGTAGTTGGCTGCCGTGCCCACAGAATCCACAATTATACGTACTGGCCTGATTTCAGTAGCTATGATTACGTTCTCATTATTCTTCTAAATTTACGCTGTACTACCTGTACCAGATTCATTGTGGGGGTACTATCCTGGGCGGATTGCCACCGGTAACGATGACAATGAGGCTTTCCCTACATCAACTTTCATAAGAAGAGATAGCTTTTGACTGCCTCATTCATTGTAGAGGTACTATCTTGGGCGGATTGGCACCGGTAACGATGACGATGAGGCTTACCCTTTATCAACTTTCATTAGCAGAGGTAGCTTTCGAGTGCCTTATTATTTGCGGATTTTCTCTTCCGCCCAAACCAATTTTTCGCATAAAAGTCTTACCCGGCTTACGTTGTGGCGTCCCGCGTGCCGCTGCTTGACTCTCGTGTTCTTCTCGTGTTCTCGTGTTCATCCATTATGTTGGATGGAGTTCTATCGCACACACTGCGGAATGACCTTCGGACCAGTTGCCTTCTTCCCATTGGTTGTTCGCCATCACTTACTTTTCTTTCCAATCTGAGGCTAGGATGCATTTATTCCGCACACCGTTCAAAGTCTCCTTGCTCATTTCCATACCTTCCTTGTATTTTTCACCTAATCTAAATTAGGCTTCCACTTTACCTGGAGCGTCAATTCCTAGCATATACTACAATCGCCATTTACCCGTCCACTCAATTGTCCCACCCCTATGGCCCCTATTACCACCGGTCCCGATTGACAGGCAGCTGGGAGTTTGCGGTGTCAGGACGGCTACCAAGTATCATCTAACCGCTAAGTGTAACAATATTATGTGTCAAACATATGCACTGTGAAATGGCTTTGCCACTAAGGTTGAAACCAATCCATATGCCTAGAAGATCGTTGAATTTGGGGTTAGTACCGAACTCAGGGATCTTCGACCACCTGCCTACAAGCAGCTGTGGCCCGTCGCTAGCAATAAATTCGAGAGCGTGAATTTCATCAAACAAGGTTACAACTATCGTGATAACATCTTATAAAAGCCGGAAAAAAACTACCTGAGTGAGATAGCTTTCCGAATTCGTTGCAGTCACCATCCAGTCCTCTAGTCACCATCACGATCACTGGTGTGCTCGGCGGCCAGAAAGTTCTTACGCACAAACCGTCCTTTTTCAGTTTATTTTTCAGTTTATTTTTTCAGTTTATTTGGTAAGGATAATAGGCAAAGCCTTTGAAAACCCTATTGATTACATGTCAGCTCGTTAGAATAACTGTACACGAACAAAAAATGTTCACTATTAAAACAGTACTTGGTTCATTTGAGTAGCATTGTCTCAGAGAAAATATTTGTCTGGACCAGGGGTATTAGTTCAGATTCAGACCGTCGAGGGAAAACAGGGGACACAAATAATCATCCAAGCGTTTCTTGAAGAGTTGCAGGGATGTAGCCTCCACGACTGACTGAGGGAGATCGTTCCATTTCTCCACTACCCTCTGCGTGAAAAATTCAGAACGGAGATTCAGCCTGGACATTGTTGTCCGTAACTTCATCGAGTGACCACGAAGATTGGGTGAAAGGTGCCACTGAAACATGTCCTCAAATTTAATTCCATACTCAAGGCCATGTATTATCTTGTAGACGAGGATAAGATCACCTCTTTGCTGCCTGTAACACAGAGGGAATAAATTAAGGCAATTCAGTCTGTCTGTGTAGGAATGGCTTTTTAGGCCGTTTACCAGCTTTGTTGCACGCCGTTGTACCCGTTCGAGGCATTCTTGGTCCTTTACCAGCCATGGCCGCCATGCTTGTATGCCATATTCTAAGTGGGGCCGAACAAAGGTGCCGTAAACTCTCCCAAAAAGGTCTTGGTCAAAGTTAACGAAAGCCCTCTTTATTGCATGCAGCACTCCCATGGCGCTTTTTGCAGCCTTGTGGCACTGCAGTGTTGGTTTCAGGTTGTTCTGTATCCAAACCCCGAGATCCTTCTGTGAAGATTCTGCGGGGAGCCTTATATCTTTCAGGTGATAAGTCCTCAAACTCCTTAGTTCTCCTAACGGTGGAGACCCCGGGATATATCAACTGTGCGGATCAGAGGGTCATGAAGTTTGCCCACTGGAAAGACTGGTCGTTATTGTTACAGCATGGGGCGGGACGTCACCGTTATCTTCTTCGCTGTCCTCGCCATCATCTTCTTCACATATAAGTCTTTAACAAGAACGAAGATTCCTTTGTCTGCATAATTGTTTGTCGCATTTCCATATTAATAATAATTCCTTCAGTTCGTTTGTCGTTAATCCTATCTTCTGCCGATTGGCCGACAAGAATTCGTTGGTATAATTGGTTGCCTCGGTGACCGAGACGTTTTAAAGAGTAATGAGAAGGTTAGCGAGCATATGATCTTTCCGCTCGGTTTCAGGTTTTTGGTGTCGGCGATGATGCCATCTGATGATGTGCAGACTTAAGAAAAGCTTATCCTTGTGAAAACATAGACCTTTATTTATTCCTCTTATTGCTCACATATTTTATTATCCAGGTCAGAATTCAGCGAAACCAAACGTATGCTCAACAACTAGTCTCCTGAATCCTTCCACGTGAATTTTCTAAACATTCATTCAAACTCCTTAAACGAAACAAGAATTCATCTTGTAGTAAAAGCCCACTGGGCGCAAATAGAAGAGTTGTCTAGCCCAGTGTTAGTAACAAAATAGTAAACACTGTTGTAACATTGTGCTTCGGTAATTGTGCATGAGGAAACTTCGTCATCTAAAGTAGTCGGTTTACACATATGCCTCAATTTGTCAGGAAACCACCGGAAGGTATCTTTTGCTAGCAAATCAATATTCCCGATTTGCAGAGCTGAGATTTTCAAGGTGGTCAGTTGGAAGGGAGAAGAGGGTAACGATAGGGCATAGGACGCCCAAGTAGATGGCAACTACTAAAATATACCCTAAAATTCAGTGTGATTTTAAACATCAAGTATTATTTACTGTTCCCATTGTTTGGAATTTCCTTTTATTCCAGACTAAATGCAAACCTACAAGCGTGGCTTTATTCAAAGTTCGTCACTTTTTGAAAATTGCTTTTGGCTTACTTTTTAATTATCGCGCTCACTTCCTTTGCCAAATACCAGCGTACGATAAGACTTTCGGCTGAAATGTATCTATTTTCTGTATTTTTTGTTCTTTGTACTGTGTACTGCCTCACCCCTAAAACCCGCTCTATCATCATTCTACATATGACACGGTCCATAGGCTAGATCAAGTTGGTTGTGGATCCTACACCCTAATATTGCCGAGAGGAGTCCG